AAACCGACATACATGAATATACTATACTTTGCAATAAATGTATTTAAGATCGCAAACTTCATATAGTATTTTGACATTGAGTATTATTACTGTATGTTTTATTTATTTATTTGTTTGGAAACTCCATTTTATGTATTTTATTCAAAGTTATATATCATACATATTACTACATATTCACACATACTACTATTCTATCTTATTTTATTTTCCTACACACTTTAATCTTATATATATAACAAAAAAAATGACAAATTTTCATATCCTTTAAACTCAACATTTATTTTGGATACATTTATATAAGATTCATATATATTTTTAACATATAAAATTATCATACAATTTTAGTACACTCATTTGTTTATTTATTTTTACCGTATGATAAACATGATACTATTAATTTTATTTCATAGACATATATATGTCGTACCTTATATTTTACTCTTTTCTTAAACTAATAAAATTTACTTATCATTGATTTTAAAGAAAATAAATAAACAAGTTTTCCTAATTAAATTTTCTAAATTGAATTTAAGGACTATCTTCGGATAGGCTTTGAGGGACGCTTAATACCTTTCCCCCGACTAACTAAAATCCTTACTCGGAATTTCACTGGTTTCGCAAATCAAAACAGAGTTTACATTACACATAAAAAATGGTTTTCCTAATATTTTCCTTAAAATTTAGGTGGCGACTCTAAAACAAGAAACAATCTTTTCAAAAAAAAATCAGAGTGTCAACCATCTTATGTTGCGAACTGTTTAAGCTAGTTCAAAATTGGCGACTCTGCTGGGGATCTTACTTAAATTTTAACCTTAGAAAATTTAATTTAGGGAATAATATTTGTGAGTAATTGTTCATTTCTGCTTGTTTGCTTTACCAAATTGATATATTGTTTTGACTGAAAGGTCACAAGTGAAATCCAAGCTTGTGTTCCTTATTTGTTTTAAAACACTATTTGTTATTGCTTTCCTTACACTTTCATTTGCACATTCTATCGAGTCTTTGGCCGTACACAAACACACAGTAAACACACGATAGGTGCTCCTGCACTCCTCCGAAACTCTCTTTGGATTCCTTAGTTTTAGAGTTGGTGCAATTAAAATAGCGCGCGCACCTTCTCACAATCACTCAGTCTTACTCTCAGTCATCTAGGAAAAAATCCTACTCTAGAAATAGGTCATGTTGCATAGCCATAGGCAAGATAATATAAGGTATTGTCATTGCGTTTAGGAAACCACCCAAATGTCAAATAGTGTCTTTTTAAAAACTCGACGACATACACTTTGTGTGAAATTGTTATAAATTATCCAAACTAAAACACTTAACGAATTTGGAGCAAATAAACTCATCCTACTCTTTACCCTCTTTTTCGATAAACTTCAACCAAGACTTGCCAGATATCCAAATGGTCGTTTCAGCGCCACACATCCTCCAAAATTGGTGGCAAAATATCCACATGATACACGGGGCTGAGATTCGAGGGCACTTGGGAGCATTATTGTCACTTCTAGGGACACAATGAGACAAAGTCTGGATTTTGAGATCACCCCTACACTAGAGGAGTTCAGTAGTCTTACCGAGCTACCGATTAGAGGGAGGCTACCGATGATCCCGTCAGCTATCTGTACAGGTGATTTTCTAAGTCTCCTAGATCTGCATATATTTCGGTCATTTAGATATGTGAATGGCGGGCAGGTAGAGTTAGACTATCTCTTTCACAGGTTTGGGCGTTCGGAAGGTTACTATAAATATCAGCGTAAATTTGAATGTACTCGCAGAGCATGGGAACATATGAGGCCGAAAGTATTCGTTATGGCTTTTTTGGGAGTTATGGTGTTCTTGATAAGGTCCAATTCTGTCGACGCCAACATATTGCCGATGGTCATAAACATCTTCAATATACACAGATTTTCTTTGGTCCCCATGATCCTTGCCGAAGTTCTTCGTTCGATGACAACCTACATTAGGGGGCACAACTTCTTCGGGGGATGCAGTATGCTGCTACAGATTTAGGCGAGAGAACATTTCCATCGTCGTGATCCATAAATGGATTTCTACATTGGGGCATGTAACAGGATCGAAAGCCAAAAAGATCGTCCCCAAAATTGGATGGGTGCGCCGACAGGAAGGGAAGAGTGGCGCGCATTCCTGAACAACCTTCCAGGAGATGCTATCCAATGGAAATTTTCTTGGATAAGAGGAGTGACATTTGCGAGGACCCGATATTTTTTCTTTATCGAGTTAATTGGGCTGAGGGGCATTCAACCATATGCACCTCTTCGGGTTATGTGGCAATTTGGAGTCATCCAAGACATTCTGCTATGGTCAATCATGGGATCACATGAAGATGCTTTCACTTCAGTCTCACTGGAACGAATAAGAAATCTGCAAGCTGAGTGGGAATACACGATCGATTTAGAAATAGAAGAGGAAAGTTGGTGTACGCCAGAGTATTATGCTTGGCGAAATACTGTGAGTCATATGGCTTATCCAAGCGTATACGAGCATTGGGGGATTGTAGACAACCAACAAATTGATTGGATTAGAGAATCAGTGCTTCATCGCATGGGATTCACCACATCCATGTATAATCAGATTGTTCCCGAATCTATTGATTATTTAATCCAGGTGGTAGAAGAAGAAGAAAAGGAAGAAGACCCGGAAGAGGATCCGGAAGAAGACCCGGAAGAGGACCCTGAAGAAGACCCAGAAAAGGATCCCGAAGAACACCCAGAGGAGGATCCTGAAGAGGACTTAGAAGAAGAGGTGGAGGAAGACCACACGGAGGTTTTTGAAATGGGTTTTAACATCTATGACCCAAGAGATGGAGGGGTGATAGACATGTCTCCCAAACGCGGCCCCGACAGGTCTCCAGATTACCATCCAGGGCCATATTATGATGGGGACGATGACGATGATGATGCTCTAACCTGGCCGTAGATTCGTCTTTCTCCTTTGAACTCTTTTCATAAGCTTCTCAAAGTGCCATGTGGCCTATCCCTATTGTATGCCTTATGACCCCCCCCCCATACTTTCATTTCTTATGTTTTTGATTGCCTACCTCAATGTAACATCCAAGATCAATGAAGTTATGTTTGCTCCAAATCTAAAATGTGTTTAAATGGATATTTTACTATCAAACTGATTGCAACGTAGGCCTACTTTAGGCAAAAAGAAGTTCTATATTAGGACACGTTTTGAATGTCGCTAAATTGGCGTATACATGTGTTACACTTATATTTGTTACATCTTCTAATATTTCCCAAACTAACATAGTTTCCTTTTCTTTTTCATCATTTATCCCCAAATGTACATTTATTTGTGTCGACTTGCAAACTGGCTGACTCACGATACAACTGTCGATCAAAAGGAAAGATGATTGATAAAGACGATTTCAACGTTGCTGCAAACATAATGATACATATCGAGAACCTCGAAGGTTCTCGAAACATGATAGACATCCAAAATGAAGAGAAAATGGCTCGCATGGAGCAAGAACTCGAGATCTTAAGGGAAGAATTATGCCAAGTGCGAGACTTGGACAAAATGTCGGCTACCACTTTCCCTACTTTCAAGACGCCTATCTAATTTTCAAAGGATGACTTGCCTTCTACCGACTTGCAAAATCAGCCAGAACAAACTCAACACGCTCCTGCTCACGATTGAGTTCCACCAGCTTCTCCAACCGCAGTTAGGACCGTTCCCAAACTTTCCAATCGCGACCCTACCATACCTACAATGCAGTAGATACTTGGGGCACATGTTACCGCTCCCTATGAGCCACATGTTCCACCCGTATATCCCGTTGGAGATCCTACCTTCACAATGCCAGCAATGGTTAATATCCCGTATGATGTCGATCAGTATGCAGAAATGGAGAAAGATACCCAGCTGAAAAAAATGCATCGATAAATGCCCAACTTCAGGGTCTAAGAAAGGCATTGAAAAGCTTACAAGTTACTAGAGGAACGGAGAGTTTGGATTATGATGACTTGTGCATCCATCCAGACATTGACATGCCGGTAGGGTACAAACCACTAAAGTTTGACATGTTCGATGGAAAAGGTGACCCTCACGCACATTTAAGGGCATACTGTGACAAGTTAGTCGGTGTAGGGAGAAATGAGAAGTTGAGGATGAAGTTGTTCATCCAGAGTCTGGAGAAGCATTGACCTGGTATACCCGCCAAGACCTTCGCAAATGGCGTGACTGGCAGGAAATGGCTGAGGACTTCATGACTCGTTTCAGATTCAATACTGAAATTACTGCTGACAGATTCTCATTGGCCAATATACAGAAGAAGCCATCTGAGAATTTCCAAGAATATGCACGACGTTGGAGAACTGAGGCCGCAAGGATGCAACCACCTTCACAACCATCGCAAACACACAACTTGTGATTTCAGCAACACCACCTCTTCGTCTTGCAATCTGGCTCATCCAATTCACTTCAGTTTCCCAGTTTTGTATTTGTCTTTTGTGCCCCAACCATTATAGCATACAATTCCATATCTTCTTGGTCACACTACATTCAAAGAATAAATGCGAGAATGTTTCTAAGTGTTGGCTACAAAAGACAATCAGGGAGGACAGTGATTCCAAATTTCTGCAATCTCTCAACTGTTGCTAGTCGTTTCTGTATAGCCAACCATAGAATGAATTTATATCTAGGATGTATCTTTGGATGTAAAGCAAGATGTTTCCAGGCTACTTTGGGATTAACATGCATTAAATTCACATACATCTTTCGGATTGAAAATCTATCCCCAAGTCGGGCTTTAACAAGTTGTTGTTGAATTGTCCCATGGCTTCCTAGTCTGTTTATTAACTGATCTCTAGATTCCAGTACCTTCCTCACAACCCATGAAGGTATCTTTGTCCCAACACCAGATGTTTGTTTTGTTGAACCAATCATATATCTTCCTTTTTTTATTTTCCTTCTGGAAAAATTGGTACACTTATGTATTCAATGAAATGTTAAGTTTTGTATTTCGTAAGTATCAAAATAATCAATTTAATGTTTTTTCTCAGGCTAACATGATCAAGAAGACTGGAACTACCGTAGTTGGCACAAATAAAAAGAAGTGGGTATGTTTGAAAAAACTACAAGATCTTTCTTTTTTTTAAAAGGTAGGAAAATTTCATGTATATAATTACTGCTTTTGCATCAATTCCTTAATATGTTTGTTTTTAGAAAATTCAATTAGTCATTTTTGATATCTCAATTTGTTCTATTTAACTAGGATCTAATTTCTATTATTATATAGTTATAAATTTTCTTATGTGCATTTCTTGTGCAGAATTTTCAAGGAAATTGAGGTCAAGTATCGACTTCAACGTGCTCGACTTTTGGATAGATGATTTCATAAAGATTTATTGCAAATTTACTGGAGATTTTAATTCCATTTGAATTAGGAGTTAATTAGTTGGTTTTATGTTGAGATTATTACATTTAGTTAGATTTCAATTTTACTTGAGATAGAAAAGATAATTTGTTTTGACATTGTTTACTTTTACAGAAAACTTATTATATTGCTATTTTGTTCTTTGATTATAATATTAAAAAATATTTGCTTTATATAATATTTCTTGCTTATCACGAAGAAGATAGTTTTGAATGCACAAATTGTTTGTATGTATTTGTGTCTTGAGAAAAAATATATATAGATTTTCTTGGATGTTTAAGAAACTTGGTAGCGACATTAGAATATTAATATGACATTTAGCAAAATATAAAATAATGTCACCAATTTTTATGACATTCAATAATAGCATTTGTTGACACTAACTAAAGTGTCAGAAATTTTGATGTGACATTTTATAAATGTCACTAGTGTCTTGAAATTTGTTTTACCATCATTTAATTTAAATGTCAGAAAGTGTAAGTGATATTTCATAAATGTCGAAAAAATAAATGTCATATATCTCATACTGACATTTACCTAAATGTCAAAAATAAATGTCATATATCTCATACTGACATTTACCTAAATGTCAAAAATAAATGTCATATATCTCATACTGACATTTACCTAAATGTCAAAAATAAATGTCATATATCTCATACTGACATTTACCTAAATGTCAAAAATAAATGTCATATATCTCATACTGACATTTACCTAAATGTCAAAAATAAATGTCATATATCTCATACTGACATTTACCTAAATGTCAAAAATAAATGTCATATATCTCATACTGACATTTACCTAAATGTCAAAAATAAATGTCATATATCTCATACTGACATTTACCTAAATGTCAAAAATAAATGTCATATATCTCATACTGACATTTACCTAAATGTCAAAAATAAATGTCATATATCTCATACTGACATTTACCTAAATGTCAAAAATAAATGTCATATATCTCATACTGACATTTACCTAAATGTCAAAAATAAATGTCATATATCTCATACTGACATTTACCTAAATGTCAAAAATAAATGTCATATATAAAATAAATGTCAGTAAACAAATTTGTGACATTTAAACATCATAATACGACATTTAGAAAATGTCGTTGTATCTCCACTTTCTTGTAGTGTCTATAGTTGACTAATTTGGACAAAGATCATAGTCCATAGTCAAATATATAGCTCCACCTAATTATTTGCTTCAACGAACTCCTTTAGAATATTTTTCTTCAAACCTTGAGAACCCAACTGATGTTAGTATAAAAGAAAAATCTCTATTTCATAATACTAGCAGCATATACCTTATACATTCAACATTCAATTCTAAATTTGCATAAATAATAACTAGATTAATCATTTTATTGTTTTTAACAACAATTCCTTTTGGATCTGAATATGACCTTTAGATGTTCTAAAACCTTAACAACAGATTCAAAAGGAGACATCTTTTCAAATTTTACTGCTGCTTCTCCAACTACAAGGAAAATCTAAATCAAGAAATCTTAACCATTTTCACGAAAATCAGAAAATAATATTTGTTCCCCAAAAGTTGCATGGATCCTTCAACATTTAGGTCTCCCGTATTGGAGCAACTCTTCAATCAAGAGAAGGAAAGGGTCATAGTCAATAAAGTAATTGCAAAGCTTACAAGTTCCTGCTAGGACAAATGCGTGACTGGTACTCCTAGAAGCAAGTTCAGCTCTAGTGAATTTAATTGTTTAAGTCATTGTGCACAACGATAGATGGAGATGAGTATGATCATAATGAAACGATTTCAGAGCATGCACCGAAGAAAGATTGACCTTATAAAATGGACTCCATAATCTTTTTTGGTTCCTTCAAAGTTCAAACTTCAAAGAAATTTGAAAGAAAACGTAGTAAAATTTTCTTATTGCACAATACAGTTTATGTGGTGTTATTGATGTTATACGTTACTAAATGATGAGAGATGCTCTAATTTTTATTTTAAAAACAAGAAAAAGCTACAAGAGCAATTAGAAGTGGTCCATTTGAATTTGAAGAATAACTATAGAGCAAAAAAACTCACCATTCATATTCAAATCCTAAGTCAAGTATCCAAAAATATCAATCTCCCCACCCCAAAAGTCATAGAAAAATAAATTACTTCTTTATTCAATAATCCAAATCCTAATATCTCCATGCATCTTTCTTACGTTGAGGAAACTTTAACACAAGACTAAGAACATACATTGCTACACTCTGTCGTTTCTGCAGAACCCTCTAAAGTAGTCGATGTCGTAACCTATAATCATATTCTTAAAAAAAAAAACCTTTTTAAATTGATACTCAAGCTGATAATTTTTGTAATTGAATATTTGATTTCTTGTGGGAATTCACAAATAACAATTAAGTCAATGTTTTTCTCCAACGACAGAGTAATTGACTTGCGGAAGAGAAAATAAATCTAACCACACTTATAAGTAGTAGAAACATAATAATTGTTAGTTCATAATGAAGAGATATTTTTACATGATAAAGTGTTTACCTTATTAGTTGAGGTCAACTCACTGACAATTTCTCATATGAATATTTTCGTGAATCCAATGTAGCCATTTCATGGAGAGTGTTTCGGAATACTTGTTTTTCTATACCTATCATCAAGTAGAAAGTTTGCAATAATGCATGATATATTGGTAAGCATCCTATTGTGAGATACACCACTTTTAAGGAAATTAAACACACATTGCTTGAAGTACAATATTGCTAACATAGTCAAAGAAAGAGCTTCCAAACACATTACTTTTCTCCAATCCTTTTTAATCCTTTCCACATGATTCTCATTCATTGACTCATTTTGCTTTCTCATGTACAACTATGAAAAGAAAAAATCACAATAAGAATTCACCTTAACTAATTAATTGGATAAATGTTGGCAACAATTTTAGCAGAATGTGTTTTGTAGTTTATATATCTAAATATTCAGAGGGGAGAAGGGGAGGAGGCACCAAAATTTTAATAGAAAGCAAATAAGTAACAATGCATATCACCCAATATTGATAGAGCAAGCTAACTTTAAAAAAGAAAAATATTTTAGTTTCCTCCTTGTAATACCTATCTTTAACACATCTCTAGATCTCTAAGACAAAGAAATTGAATTCTTTCTTCTCTACAACAACCACAACAAATGTAATTTTTTCCAAGTTTGTAAAGTTATAATTCAAGAACACAATGAAAAAATGATTTGCAATCTATTTGAAGAATCCATCTCTTACAATCACAAACATGAAATGGGTGGAATTTTACATTTTGGAGGTGATATAGCAAATACTGAACAATTAACATGAATGAGTGCCGACATCAAATTTGCGTGTCGACATCGCCTCAACCGAATTGACTCTACATTCACTCCGCCACAACTCAATTTCTATGCCCTGATTCAGAACATTCAAAGAAATAAAAAAATAAAAAATACAAACTAAAATTAGAGGAAAAGAATCTTACCATATCAAGTCTTAATCAAAGCATTGAAAGAGAAGTAAAAAGTAGTGATTTTAAGGTCTGAACGAATTGAAGAAGGTGAGAGTTAAATGTGAAATTTTGGGGAAAAGTACAAAGAGGGAAATATTACCGCTTTATTTTCACTAACAGTTGAGAAAGATTAATTAATTTAAGGCGACAATTAAAGACACGTTGTTGAGAAAGTGAAATATTTCTCCAACAATGAAAAAACTTTTAGTAACAGTACAAATGTTTTGTTGCAAATTTAATTATATTTTAAATTTATTATTTTACTTATATAATATGGCAACAAGATTATAATATTTGGCAATAAAAAAAACTAATTAGGTTTCCAATTCATACCCTTTTCAAGAGGTATGGATTAGAGATGTGGAAGATACATTGGTCGAAGCTTCTTTCAAGAAGTTTTCATTTCTTCAAGAACTTCACGTTAAAAGTTTTAGTATATGGCAACAATTAAATTACGTTGTTGCCATTTTCTTATATTTAGCAACAAAATTATGATTGTTGAGAAAAAGTTGTTGCTAATTCTATATTTTCTTGTAGTGTGTAATACCCACAGAGGGGACTTATAAACCTACGGGGGCACGTAGTTCTGGGACTATTTGGGTACGTTGAACCCTAGTCTACTCGGTATTAAGATACTCCCAATTAGAATGTATTTAACAATTTATGACTGAATTTCTGTAATACTGGATAACTCAAAATACTGACATACAAACTCTGAGAATGCAACAATTATGACTGATAATGTGGCATTCCTAAACTGAAGCATGTATATCTTGAAATCATTGACCTATCATGTGTAATTCATGAACTAAAAGAACTACATAACTAGGGTTCTGAATATCATACAAGAAACTAAGTAATAACACGATAATCTAATTTAGATCATTCTAACAACTAAAACCCAACAATTTCTAACATTCAAGAAGCCCTAAGTCTAGATAATATTAAGGGAATCAAGATTCTGATTGAAATCTAGGGACCTAATGGATGGAAGGAACCTATTAGTGAAATTCCACATACTTGGTGATGAAATTCACGGAGAAATCTTTCGATTTCAGGGCTGGAACTGAATAAAACTCGTTGCGTTCTTGAACTAGGGCTTGGTCGACTCTTTCTCCTTCTTTTCATTCAACTTGATGAATTTTTGGAGAATGAGTTGGCTAGGGTAAGTTCAAATTAAGTTACTAGGCTAAAACTGACCAAAACTACGTTGTTTAGGGGTTAAATGACGTAGTTTAGGGGTCCAACGCATGAGGAAAAGACCAAACGACCCCTGACTTAAAATCTACTTAAGCCACCTACGGACTGATTGACGGTCCGTGGACTGATCCATGATCCGTCCTGTCAGTCTGTCGATTGTCCTCAAAGGATGGGTTCTGGGGGTCCTGAGGGTCTCGACTAAGGCTGGGCACCAGACTGGACCGAAACCACCGGACCAGAACGAGATGGGTTGATCGGTTTGTTGACCGATACCAGGAAGAATCGGACCGAAATTACCGGGATAGATACTAGGTTTCGTCCCGTCCCACTATATATCTGGATGGAACCAGAACAGATCGAAATGGAACGAGATGGGATAAACGGGACGACACATATAGCTATTTCAAAAAATAATATATATTTTTAGTTATTTTGATTTTTTG